TGACAGTTGCCGAACTCCTTACTGATAGAATCTAACACGGGAATTGCAATGGAAAATGCAAAAAAACTATATTGGCCCTAGTTTTGGCACGACGTTATCTATTGGCACAGCTATTGGGTTTGGTCACGTAACTGTACATGTACTAAGTTAATCACTTGAGTGACTATGGTTTGTCACACTATTGCGTATCGTACTACGTTACTAGCGTATGCCAGCGTATGAAAAATATCACTCATACCAGTCATACGCCAGGGGTACGTTTAGGCATAGGTTGTATACGTTTCAAGCACGGTCGCATACGGTGGCATACGGTGAGGCAGAACATTTTTTTAAGCATGTTCAAAAATTTTGTGCATATCGGACGTATGCTTCATACGATAAGCATACTCTAGGCACACGCTGAATACGCCAGAGGTACGCCAGATGTACGGTACTCATACGCTGGCATTTCAAAGGATTTTTGTGCGTATGAAAAATTGAAAATTGTTTCATTAATTTTCATACGCTTCTCATCACGTTTCTCTCATACGCAATAGTGTGACAGGGCCTTAAGACAAGCAGAATCTCTTACAATCTCGTATACGAAACGGCGCATTCATGGAAAACAGCCATTAATGTAACATAGGCTTGTCCAATTTTTGGTAAACCTGATGAAGCTACCGTGCTTAAATAAAGATTTGACTGACTGACGAAACAACCGCGAAATTTGGGTACTCACATACTCCAAAGCCAAAAACCTTGCACATTATTTCAAAATGAAGATAATTGATTGACTTAAGGCTAATTTCCACTCAGGAAAATTATCCATGGATTGGAACGGTCAAGAAAATTTTTCTTTGTCTTGTGAGCTCTGAGCCTCTGGATTGGAACTAATGATTTTTTAAAACACACACAAAAAATGTTCTTGTCCGTTCCAATCGCCGGATAATTTTCCTGAGTGGAAATTAGCATTGGTTTGAAGGTTTCCAAGCCCTACTGTACCCTGAGATGCTTGCATTGTGTTGACACGAAGCCGCCAAGGACTCTGTTTTCATCAGTCGCTCCGTTAGAAACCGTGCTCATTCACTGCTCAAATTAATTACGCCGGCAAAACAAATTACGTTCGCAAACAAATTCGTGTACTGTGAACGCGACGGGCTAATTGTCTCTTTTCTGCGCCGTTTTCAAGCCGCGTGGTGTGATAGTCTTTTGACAGCGGGAGACCAGGGACACCGGAACTGGGGGGCAGGAGGGCAGCCGCCCCCGTTGCCCTTTACCACGAGGGGCAAGGGAGGCAAAGGTGCCCTTTCAATTTAAAGGATTGCCTTGGCGAAATAGCGAATTGTCAGAAATGTTAGTGCAATTTTTTTACGAATTTGCTTCAGAAAACGCAAGAAATGCAGTCATCGAGCTTCAAGAATAGCACAATCGCCTGGCGGAGAACCCCCTCACACCCCTATCATCCAATAAATAGAAAACATGATTAGGCGAAGTTCAACTCCCGATGTTTTGCAAACATCTCTCAGTATAGTATATCAATTCAAAAGTGCCCTTTCACAAAAATCTGCCCCCCTTGCCTTCCGGCATCGTTCCGGCGTCCCTGCGGGAGACTGTGTTTTTAGTTCACTACGCCGTGGTTAGTTTGTTCCACCAATAATTTACAAAAACAAGAACTTAAAAACGTCGTTTGTTTGAAACTTTGGATTGATGAATTTTTTTGAAGTTTCATTTGGATGCATTCTAATTAGATTCAGATCGTCATTGCGTACAATTATGACGTCACGTGGTTAAGTGGGCAAGAACAACACGACGTATACTGGCTGAAAAATTACCATTTTGCATGAAAAACAAGTCCAACAAGGCGATGGAGAGCTGAGTATGCTTTTCTCACTTGTTCTACATCTGTTTTTCTTAACACAGAATATCTATGCCGACGAAGGTATGTGGGGGAAAATAGCTTTTGTCTGCTTTATAAAGACTATAAACATTTCGTGAGTTTTGTTGAATGTAATAAATATTATAATTTAGTTCCTGCGACTCAAGGAAACACTGTCATTGGTTGTGGAAGGGCATATCTTGTAATGTGATTGGCTATCTTAAGTAGCCCGTATATTTTCATGTTTTTAGGTTATTTTTATACTTTTTTAAGTAGAAAATAAAAATAATTCGGAAACAAGATGGCGACTGGCAGCACGTTAGCAATACCATGGATCATAAAAAATATACTATCCAAATTCTTTTATCGATGAACTATCCAAGGCTATATTAAGCTTACGCTTATTTAAATACAAACTAAAGTAAACTAAACCAAACTAAACTAAACTAAACTAAACTAACCGCCTATTAAACTGAAAAGAAAAACGTTGAAATTAGCCCTATTCACATTAGAGACGGACAAGTCGTCTAGACGAACAAATCGTCTCTCAAAAATCGTCTTCACAGACGGACAAGTAGTCGAACAAATTCAGACGACTTGTTCGTCTAAAATTTTGTCCGACACGTTTTCACATCTGATGATTTGTCCGACCACAGTTAACTGTGGTCCGACTAAAAGACGATTTTGAGACGATTTGTTCGTCTAGACGACTTGTCCGTCTTCTAATGTGAAAACGGCTAATAATCCAGACTATGAAGAACTAGCCTGCGTGGAAGCCTCAGAGCCTGCCACGCAGGCTAATAAAGAACTAAAAGACTGGTGCCTGCATGGTGGTAAACTTTTTAAAAACGTATTCTCAATAGCAGAACTACTTTTCTAAACTAATAGTAACAAAACTACTTTTCTAATTACCTGACCCATTTTAACCTGCCAACAGTGGTTAACTTACCAGTTTCGATCGCAATCCCCATATATCTTTTTTTTAAATCTCATTAATTGTGCAGTCATATTGTTTTATATCGTGTTGTTGTTTGAACAAACTACTCGTTTCAACTGTTGTTGTTGTTGTTGTTGTTGTTGTTGTTGTTGTTGTTGTTGTTGTTGTTGTTGTTGTTGTTGTTGTTGTTGTTGTTGTTGTTGTTGTTGTTGTGGTTGTTGTTGTTGTTGTTGTTGTTGTTGTTGTTGTTGTTGTTGTTGTTGTAGTTGTTGTTGTTGTTGTTGTTGTTGTTGTTGTTGTTGTTGTTGTTGCTGTTGTTGTTGCTGTTGCTGTTGCTGCTGCTGCTGTTGTTGTTGTTGTGGTTGTTGTTGTTGTTGTTGTTGTTGTTGTTGTTGTTGTTGTTGTTGTTGTTGTTGTTAAAAAACAAAACAAGTCACAAATCAAAACAAATCATGAGGATAAACGATGATGACTGAAATATAGTCGAAACGTTGATAAATATAAAAATGCTATGGATCTTTGGAGTTACATTTGTCATTTTGTATTTGTTAAAATACTCAGTGGTTCTAAAAATTTTTGCTGTTGTTGACTTGTTGTCGTTGCTGTTGTGGTTGTTGTTAGGTGTTGTTGTGATGTGCTGTCGGTTTAATAGCATTGAAATGTTTTTATTGTATAAATATTGTTGTTGACGTTGTATTTAATTCATCTCAAGTGTTTGTTGCTGTTCGAACAAGAGTCGCATTTTTCAATCTCTTGTATTTTATGAAGGTGTAAATTTTGCCTTGGGTAAACCAACATGGCAGTCAAGTACGGAAGCGGACGGTGTTTCATCTCGTGCTGTTGATGGTTACAAACATCCCCACTATAGTGAGAACTCATGTATGCAGACAAAAACACAATATGAACCTTGGTAAGTGCAGAAAAACTGTCATGAACTCATGATGGTTTTCGAATAACACTTACGTGTAGCATAGTAGTCATAGTTCCATCGTGATTTCACTGTTTTTATAGTCCCGCTGTTCTCTGTGTCATATTGATAAGTGCTAAAGCACTTGGTTAAAATTTTGTATGCTGTTTTAGTTTATATATTTCTGCACGTCTCTTTATTTCAAAACTTCAGAGAAGACAGCTCGAAGTTTGCTTTGAATTTTATGTTAACCTTGGCTAGGGTTAATAAGCTAACCTAGCTTTGAACAACTGGCTGCCGAACAATACGAAAACGCTACGAAACAGATCTGTGTCAAAGTAGCCTCTCCCTTTCGAAAATTACGTCATAAACGATAGAAATGCCAGAACGCCCTTTTCAAATGGCAAAACTCTCTTTTCAAACCCCAGAACTCCCTTTTTAAATGCCAGAACTACCCGGCTTTACAAATGCTAGAACTCCCTTTTCAAATGCCATATATTAATTAAGCTACCTTTTCAAATGCCAGAACTACCTTTACAAATGCTAGAACTCCCTTCACTAGTTTCAAATGCCAGAACTCCCTTTTCAAATGCCAGAACTACCTTTTCAAATGCCAGAACTCCCGGTTTTCAAATGCCAGAACTCCCTTTTCAAATGCCAGAACTCCCGGTTTTTAAATGCCAGAACTCCCTTTTCAAATGCCAAAACTCCGTTTTCGGATGCCAGAACTCCCTTCTCAAATGGCAGAACTCCCTTTTCAAATGCCAAAACTCCCTTTTCAAATGCCAGAACTCCCTTTATAAATGCCAGAACTCCGTTTTCAAATGCCA